ATGCCTAAAGCATTATCAACGGAAATACCTTCGGAACGAGGATTTCATGGCTCTTTGGCTCACTCCTTCGGACCGTCTAATCATGAAAGATATCGCCCGAAGCACACCATGATTACGTCCATGAATGAGTATAATTCTGAAGTTTATAAATCCGATCGAATTTTGACTAGAGAATACTTTTCTCATCCTTCGTTGTTTCTAACTTGCCCTTGAAGCAACAATGAGGAAGGTGGAAGTTTACCAAATTCTTATATCTGATTACTACCACAAACATGAGAGAAAGGTATAGACCCTGTTCGGCTGGAGCCTACCGAATCCAATTTGGGGTCTATCTCTCTCACAACCCAATTTTGAGTTTGTTTTTACAACATATGGTATAATCAGGGCCTGCCAAGGTGTGACATCATGCCCGAAGTGTGATCCTTCGCACCTAAGACCTAAAACTTTAAAAATAAGGGATAGTGTTCCCGAACCTTAACCCTGCATAATCTACTTCCGTCTTGATGAAATAGATCAGTGGTTATGCACCTGTTCGTGCCCCTACCAGTGTTGTTAAGGAGTACCATTCTAGTAGTCAATATGTGAGACTAATTTTTCTCCACCGAACATCGTTAGAAGAGCAGAATTTTGACATGGATGGCTTTCTTGGCCGAATCCCCTTAGTAAACCATTTACTTTGTGAACATTTTTCCATGTTCCTAGATTCAAGTTTATTGTAGGTTTTACTTATGGATAATCTTATTGATATTGTCCTCGAATATGAGTTAATTGAATTATGTTTCTTAATACATGTGACCGATTCAATTAAACACATGTGACCGATTCAATTAAACACATGATTAGGTTGGAATGTGGGAATGTTAGTTGTTTGGATGAATGCATACTACGCATACTAACTTTACACCTAAATCACATCTCTAACAACAACTTCAGGTCTATCCAACCTGATTAAAAGCATTGGAACGCTCCTCATTGTATGAATGGTATTGCATCACCATTTAAGGGACCTTAAATTCTCCCCGTCATTGAGTTTTTAAGGATATTCGAGATGACAATGATCATAAATGAAACCACTAAAGAAAATAGAGTGAAATATATTTGCACCACCTCCAAAAAATGAGTCTTAAGCTTTGATTTGAGGTTAATGGGTTGTCTCCCAACTAGGAATACACCACATATGGCCGGCCTGGAGCTTGGTGATTGAGCAGTTTACTTGTTTTGGCACAACCATTTAGGACACTTAGGTCGAACAATGATGCTACAACGCATCTCCTTACCCGAAGTAAGGATCTTGTGCCTACAATCACACTTTGCCAAGCATGCTCATTAGGGAAATTGATTTTCTAAATCATCCCTTGCAAAGATACGAAACAACTCTCTTTTCACAGTGGATTCAAGGGAATAATATATGGACTAATCCAAGAAAAATGCGGACCATATAAATACTTATGGTTTTGATTGATGAATCAACAAACTGGTCACATGTTTGTCCATACCCATTGCTACTACACCTCACGGTCGATTAAGGGTTCACCACCCTACTTATCCCTTAAGGTCCGAGAGACTGGATAATGCCGAAGAGTTTACATCGACTATTTTTGATAAAGTATTGCATGTATTTTGGGTTTATAATTGAACATCGAATTCCCATGTTCACCCCAAATAGCCTCGCCTAGCGATCATAAAGCGCAATCTAAATGATCGCCCAGATTTTGGTAAATGTACCAAGTTTTCGGTTTTTGCCTAAGGCTATGCAATCTTGTACGCAGTTATGCTGGTTTGCCTTGAGGCCCATTGCCACCCAACCTATATGACGTTACAATTGGTTACTGGGTACGAACCTGACGATTTTCGTATTGACGCATTTGGGTGTGCATTCCATGTGCCAAGTTGCGCCACCGCAACTTATCAAAGAAGGATGTGAATCTTTGTCGATTATGATTCTCCTTCACATTAGCTCTTTTTGAGCCCTTGCATTCGATCTTTTTAACGCTTATTTGTGGATTGTCACTTTAATGAGACAATCTTCTCGCCATGAAGGATAGGTAAGAATGTTAACGATCCCGTAGAACGGCGCGAATTTGCGTGGACGTTACCTACTATGTCTCATCTCGATCCTTATAACCGCACATGTATGATAAGTAAGTGCGATGAATCTTAAATTTCAAAATGTTGCTCCATACACATTCCTCTGATCTAGCTAAAGTGACGATATCATATACCAGCTGCAAACATGCCTGCAAGGATAAACGTACTTAACGGACGTCGAGTCAACATCCCTAGAGGGTGTGCCGCCCTTATTGGACGGTCTGGTACACCAGCGGATAGCTAATCAATCTGTCTTGACCTGGAGCACGACATTTCACTTTTTTCATAGGATTCACTTCCGTAGAAAAGGAAGACACGGCACAATAATGAAGCTAAACTCGATGGTTGTCTCAAATCATTTCCATCTCATGAGATTAATCCAGATTACTCCCGTGACTTAAAGTTCTTGGTCCAGTATACTAGTTTGAATGAGAAAATGGAATTGAAATGAGATTACCATCGATGATTTTTTCACTTATATGGTAGCTATCGACATAAATGAAAAGTGACGATATCGAACCATGTTCCATTGATTAAGTGACAACGTATAATTGATTGGACAATTGAAATTACAATCCAAGTCAAATTCCTTACCAAAGTCTGTTTTGGACCTGTCGTTCCTACAGTACCCAAGGTAACCCTATTGTGTTAGAAGTGGGAAATGATGCGTTATGAGATGAATGAAATAGTGCGATATGATGCACGCCTTACGACGCAAGGTTTCTTTCAAACGTCCTGTGATTGATAGCAGCATTATGAAATGTGGTTACATGTAAGTTCCCGAAGAATTACATGGACTGGTTCAGATAGTTCCAAAACCACGGAACACCCTCTTAACTTGTTTGAGGTGTTCACTTACAATCCGACGGATGTGGTATACCCGTCTAAGTGATTATTTGATCAGTCAGGGATGAATTATGCCCTTGCATGTTAAACTATGAAGTCTTATTTCGAATTGCTAGAGTTACAGTTTATGTCGTTGACACAAATCTCACTAAGACTCTGGAAGAGCTTGAGAAAACTATCTTGCACTTAAAGATGGAATTTGAGATGAAAGATCTTGGGAAAACTCGTTTATACCTTGACCTGAAGTTGAAGCATTGTTATGATGGTATTTTGGTCTATCGGTCGAATTACACCTCGAATGTGTCACTTTTAAGTATACCTTTGATCGTCCATACGTTATATGCAAATAAGACCCTTGAAGAGGTTATGGAATCCGAAATTCCATATCTAAGTTCAAACTTTATGTTTCGTTGTACTTAGCTTATTGTATTTAGACAGGACATCTCATTCGTTGTTGATCTTGGTAAAGATACAGCACCGCGCCTACACGCATCCATTGAATTGGTATTAAAGACGTACCCTGAAGGTACTACGAGGGCAAATCCCAACGCATCTCAATGGATCCAACCCCTCTGATCCTTGAAATGATGTTTGCCTTATTTGTTATGCTGACACAGGTTACTTATCAAACCCGTACAAGGTAAAATCCCCAAATGGTTATGTCTTTACCATTAGGGATATCGCAATATCTTGGAGGTCCACGATATGACCTTAGTTGCGAAATCTTCGAATCATTCCAAGACTTACCTCACTTCACTATGCCACAAGTGAGACATGGTTAGGAGTTCTTGTTGAGCATATTCAAAGTACTTGTTGTGTTTTCATCCATCATTGACGATCCATGAAAATTATGCCACATGTATCAACCCGACCAAGTCATGATACATAAACGAAGTCAACACCAAGACATATTGCGTTTACATCTACATCAGCAAAGCATCAGGAGATTGAAGTCATGCAAGCTGATTCCAGACAACCTTGCCGACCTTTACACGACGCCACTGCCGAAGTCAACCTTCCAGAAGCTTGTCCGAAAAATTAGTATGCCTAACTATTCATATGCAATACTTGTAGTTCTCATTTGGAAGTTATGTCAAACTCAGGGGAAGTATCCAGAAGTATACTCCCTTGATCTTAATGTACTCTTTTTCCTTACGATTAGGAGCATTTTTCCCACTGGGTTTTTGCTACCTAACTAGGTTTTAACGAGGCACCCATCCTGGGCTGATCATACCCTTGTGAGCTCTTCTAGTTGCGTCCAAATGACATAGTTTTGACTAAATGCAACTTCTCACTTTTCTCCTTAGTCTATGGGTTTTTCTCCCACCTTGGGTTTTACCATAGCGATGTTTTGTGAGTTTTATCTTTTTATGCATTCTTTCGTTGATTTGAGACTCACATTTACTCATTGTGCCGACAACTTCATCAACTATACTTGCTTCATCACTGAAGACCTGATGCACCATTTACTTGAGTATTTACACATTTAAGGGGGAGTGTTGCGGTCCTATTAGATTATGAATGTGATTGTGTAAATCCTAGTAGATATGGGAGTATCTCTCATATTCCTATTAGGAGTTGATTACCTATTAAATGTTGTAATCCTAAAGGGTAAGGAATTAACTTTCCCTACTACTATAAATAAAGGCACAATGGGATTGAATAACATACACCTACAATTACACATCTCTCTATTTCTCTCTACTCTTGCCGCACCCCTCTCTTTAAGGCCTTCATAATTATTCAATAAATTATGCCTACAACATTTTTCGGTTTTTTTCAGTTTTTTCGGTTTTCATGAGGAAGATATGTTATTTAGTATATGATATTATTTGCTCAACTCTTTATTGATAGTTAAATATGTTAGATGAGGAATGTAATTACCGATTCGGGTATTAGCATTCTCAAGATTAATTTAGATTAAGAAATTTTACCATGCTTAATTATGTTTGTATTCTACTTTCTTGTTTCTTTCCTTACTATTTATGGTTAATTTAACCAAAAAAGGAAGAACAAAAAACTCTTCGAAACGAAAGCAATTGAGGCGGGCGATCCAGACCGGAAAATTGAAAATAATAATTTCATACTCCAGGAGAAAAAGTGTTATTGCAAAAATACATAGAAAGATACTAGTATACATCGATCATCCAACAAGGATGCTCAGCTTTCTTGCAGTGTTAAGATTACACAAAAATACATCGAAAGATACTAACATACCCGAGAATATGAACGCTACATTGATCCCAATGAGGATATTGTATTTGCTGTGTGTTCTGTATTCCGGTAATTTCAGAGTATCGATTGATCATCAACCAACCATATCAACTTCCGGTACAACAGGTCTGTTTCCTTCATCATCTGGTGAATTGATTGATGCTACCAAATCGTCAATTTTCAGGGGAGACCGCCGAACCATATTCTGAAACATAATCTGCAAGATTATATTCCAAAGGAATTATCAGTATAGGCAATGATTTAGAACGGTTTTGTAACAGGCTAATTTTTAATATTGAGAAAGAGTGAATTCAACCAACAATTTTGGAATTACAGTTTTCTACAAACCTTGGAGTAAGTATCTGCAAAAGCACGGGCACGATTGGACTTGCCAAGGTAATGTAAATCTGCCTTCTCAAGCTTCCCATCTACAACACTTAATCCTCCATCACCAATAGCAAAACGAAGAAGACATCCTGAATGCAACCCTGACTGAAAATATATTGAAGTTAGAACACAAAGGCAAAAGACATGAATACAACGAGGAAAGAGAGGACAAATGTTACATGTTAGGGTTGTAAAGAACTCAATGACACCAGCCAGTCAGTTAGTCTGGTGGCTTCAGAGTAGTTTACCAGTGATCTGAGATAGAACCGCATTTTCCTCAGGACAACAAGTGCAAGGACCGATTTGGTATTATGGCTTTTGAGCAATGGTGGAGAAAATGTAACTATTGGGGTCGGGTTGGGAGGAGACAAGATACGGGAAAAACTACCATGAAAAGCTAAGCAAAATATTTGTTTCGAGTGAAGCAGAACCGCTCCCATAAAAGCCCTAACATACTTTGCCTGACTCAACTCGCAATTACTAGGTGCAGATATCCATGTTCCTATAATGAAAATTCACCGTAAAACATACCTGTTGTATGAAGGCTGAGTCCAAGCAACCAAATACAACTGGTGGATCATCGGATGTAGTCACATTTCCATCACCTTGCAGCTCCAAAACTACCTGATCACATGGAATCAGAAAATGAGAGAGAGTAGAGATAGCCCAACCAACAAATAGAGCAAAGAAGGGTTCGTAACAAAAAATACCTGTTGATGGCTTGGAACCTGTCCTTTGTTATCTGTGTCAATAACGTACTGACTGCAACTCTCATCCTTCCAGACTAATGCTAATGGGGTATTTCCTGGTTGGTAATGAGCATGCCTAGAAAGAAAAAACAATTTTACATAAATCGTATGTCAAAGAAAGTTTCAATAGCATAAAAAAAAATCGAGAAACTACTGTAACAGTGATCCATAGCAACAGTATATGACATTTTCACAGATCCATAACAACAAATTTTAAGCAGTATCAGGAAATGAGCTTACTTGTTATAAAACAATAGACCATCCTTTACATACGGTACCGCTCCAGCATAGGCTGAGTATAGCCCGCTGTGATCACAGTTATGCACAGGAACCAAGCTGAACCTATACCTATGATAGTGTGACGGAGCCTCACAAGCCCCCGTCTCCCCGAGCTTAGAACTCAGCCAGAAAAACCTAAACTCGGCCGTGCAATCGAACAAAGAGTAACCTCTCCAGCACACCATGTCAATTACGTAGTACGTCTGGTCCATCTGCATTCAATGTACATTCAGCTTGGCATTTTATCAAACACTTGGAGCGCAATTGAAACAAGTAAATATCAAATTTAACCCATAATTGAAATACTTACCTCGTGAAATATACAGTCCAGTATAGAATACGACTGAGCGGAACCCGACCCGTCTCGGCTCCTGGAACCATTGGGAAGAGCCGACGGGAAACGGTGCAGAACAGTGCCGTTTCGTTGCCGGCTGATTGTGGCTCCGTCGGACGAAACGACGAAGCATCGCTTCCCAGATGGCCTCGCAAACACGTACCTACATTTCCACAAAAACCAAAAATTAGAAGAAATAATTGAAATTAAATTAGCAAAAAAAAAATTGAAATTTAGAGAAATGGAAGGCGAACCAGTCGTGGGGCAAGCGATTTGGGACGTCGATCATCCACTCCGGGAGCATGAGCTGCCTGGCGAACCATTTTCGGGCCTCCGTGCCTCTGAGCTTCGAAGCGTTGCGAAGGTCAAATTCGACGTCGCATTCGGACTCCTTGGATTCGGAGGCGGATTCGGGTTCGGGTTCGGGTTCGGAGGGCTGTTCATGTTCGGGCGGGAGGGAGAGGAGGGTAGAGGCTAAGCGGCGCGCCTGGAGCTGGACGTCGCGCCGGGCTTGCTCTTGGCGCTGAAGCGCAAGCTCTCGGCGCCTCTGCTGGTCTGAGATCGCCGGTCTCTTGTACGCGCGGTGGAGATCGTGCGGCGCCATATTTTGGTGGTCGTCCGAAATTGAATTTTTGGGAACTGGCGTTGCTCAGAAATTTTAGAAACGGTATCGGCAAGAGCAAAACTGTTGGGTTCCTTGACTTTGGGTCAGCCCATTGGATGTGCAAAGCCCATTATCCATGTTTCCGTTGTATTTCGTTTCGCTAATGGAGTTACTGACAGCCGTTTTTGTTATCTTATAAACCCACATTGGAAGATAAACTTATATGTCTCGAGTCTTGAAACAGATGTTCTAACAAGGTACAACACTCATCGCATGACTTTCCCATTCCTTATTGAGTATCGTACAAATGTTTGATCACTCAGAAGTAGGTGATTCTCGTTATTGGTTATAAGATAAAACACTACTTGGCTGCTGAAAGATCAACAACCATTCCTGCTGATACCCAATCAAATTTGAACACGTGTCCAAATAATTAAAGTTACAAGCACAAATTTGGCCGCCGATCTTTCACAACCAAGTAGTGTTCTGTATAAAATATTCATCACCGTTTGTCACACACAACGTTGACATGAGCCATAGATGAGTGTCCCCTTTTCGTTTCCTAGTTGTTTCCAAGTGTTTGTTACGTCTACGAGTGACAAAAAGTAGTTCAAAGGATTGGTTGGCTAAAAGGGTCGTCAAAATTGACTTCTCTCGTAATCGTTTAAACTTTCAATGGCATGACAGTTTGACGAGAAATTTTCTGTTACCGGCTTTGTATGATGATGCAAATCACTTTTGTTTGGAGCTTGATTTCAGGAGGAAACTAAGCTTTTTGCCCATACGGGAAAAACCTTTACAGCAGTTTCTAAGCATTCTCCTTTTCTTGTGGAGGGGAGAGCCGAACTTAGGATCTCAAAGTAGGGTATTTGTTTTAGTGAGGTCGTGTTCGAGTTTACTGGTATATGTGTATTGTGTTCATGCCAATTCAAGCGTTAATTATATGCAAAATGGTAATAAATAATAATTTAATAATACAGTAATACATACATACCATCAGAAAATTGAGAAAAAGTTATCATTTTATTATTAAGATGATAAATAGTTGAAACAATGTTCATCATGTAAACATCGAGTCTTATATTTGTACAAATTTTTAGTCGTGAAATGGAGCGGATACATCATTTGTGTTTTTTTCCTCTTTTAGAATGACAATAAACAAAAGAAAAAAAATTGTAGTTTTTATTTTGTTACAAAGAAAGAAATCGAACATGAACCTATCATAACTCATCATTATTTTTATTGGTGAAATTAATCCCAAAATAGCCTCTAATTTGTCAGGTCTAAAATTAGAGGTTAATGTTTGTAGAAATTTTAGTCACGAGTCATGGTCCAAGTGCTTCTATTTTCTAAGCTTGGCAATGCTCCGTGTGAAACTGGAATCATGGCTGCACCAATCAAAATCGCAGTCCCAAAATTAGAAAATTGGTGAGAGAGACAACCTAACCACATTTTGTAAAATAATTTTTAATTAAAACGATTGATAGATAGATTAGGACAATTAAGCCACATTGTCCATACTTGAGGCCAAGAATTTTAGGTTCAGATTTTTGGGACAGTCCATTGGTCTCTTGTTTTCTTTGATTTTACGTTGTGAGTGTGTAAACGTAATTTGACAGATGTGTACGACTGTGCGTAGTTACATTGATTAAAATGAATGTACTCTCTTTTATGTACTCCAGTCTGAATTTCTCATCCTTGCAGTTTAGATCAATTCAGAAATTTGATTAAGAAAATGAATGATTTCGATTATAACATATTATGATTAAATTCGCCAATCCTGACGAGTAAAGAAAGAGGTGCACCCTAAGGATGTTAATTCTCTAACAACTGTTGATGGAAACTGAATCATTTGCAAACAAAGCATGGATTTGGATTTAAGATTTGCGAAATTAGAAATCTAACGTGTTAGGTGAGTTGGTTTAGTTTTTTATTTATGTGTTTCCTCTTTTTATAATCCACAAAAGAAATTATCTTACATAGTACGTGTTATCTCACTAGCTTCCTCGAAGAAATTCTGTTTTAAGCATATTTTCTGTGAAGCAAATTTTGTGATAGATGCAATTGCAGATAGAAGTCATGTCGTGAATGATTTTCAAGTTTGGTTTAATGTTTTGTCTCACGAAGCTTTGTATGCCTGACAATTTGATTCTTTTAGTGAGAGTTACTATCGAAGCTTTTCTTTGCAATTTTCTTTTTTATCGAAAAAAAAATGAAACAAAAGACCGACGCAATTGCAGCTAGAGGTCATGCCATGAATTATTTACAAGTTTGGTTATGGAAGCTTCGTATACTTGGTAGTTTGACTCTTTTACCACGGGCTGTTGCCAGGACTTTTTCTTGTAATTTGCTTTGATATTGTTACTCATATTGATTTTTATCTCTCACGCACTGTTAATTTTTTTAAATTTATCTTCTCAATTTATTCGATTCGACAATTGAAAATTGAAACAAACGTGTGACAAATAAAAATAGGTGTGTGGATATTATTATTTTTTTAATTAAAAAATAAATAAAATAAAAGGATACTTAGGGGTTGTTCATTGGTCAACTAATGGGAGTAGCAGTTGACAATCACGAAAAACTCACGTTCGTGACATATTGCAAAAGTACAGATCACCGATGTTCAAATGTTTGCGTCATTCAGGAGCAAGAAAAATAGAAAAACGAGTGTTTTTTTCTCATTTTTATATTCATCAACTTATAATTTAATATAATATTTTTTTCACAAAAATAACGAATTTACGAAAATGCTACCCTGTCGCATCTCGTGCTTTTGTAATCTTATCCAAACTAATCTGGATTAGATAGGATGATTAAACTTTATGAGATGCGATGGTTCAATTTTTAAGTTTGATGGTACCAATTAAGATTCCCTTAATTATCTATTTTAATTTATCTGGACTCATTAGCTTCTATTGTCGATAACTGTATATCTGGAGTTCCGTGTTTAATTTTTTTTTTTTTTTTTTTTTGTCACTTAGTATTACACTCTAATGATATTCCTTTATACTTGTAAGTGAGATGCCTTATATTCGATTCTCGTCAAATGCGAGTTTGAACCACCTTATTGCTAGTACATTATGAGGCTCAACCTACCCTCTCCCCTTAGTAGATAATATCGCTTATTCAAAAAAAAAAAAAAAATCTCCTTTTCTAGTATGGTTTGTATAAGAATATTTAAAATAATAATGTGATCATAAGATTGGTTTAGCCGCTGTAAAATACATATGTTACACAAATCGTAAACTTTGTGTTTAGAGATTTGGGATGATTTATTCCCTGAACTTGTAAGTAGGGCTGGGCACGGGCCAAGCTGGGCCCAATTTTGAAGGGATCGGGTCGGGATAGGTACAACAAATTTTAATACAGGAATAGGACCTAACTCGGCCTGTTTGAAATGAGTCGATTCGTGCCGGGTCTAAGGGTCCTCTTTTTTTTCTTTTTTTTTTTGGGGAAAAAAAACTAAATTTTTACAGCCGCACAGCTGCACAGGTGTTCGCAGGAATCACAACCTTCTTCCAATTCTCTTTGAGGTGAATACATGTTTCAAACCCTACCAATTTGCATGAAACGCTCCACCGATCTAATTTGCATGAAACATTCAAATCCAATTTACATTCAAATCCAGTTTACATAATCTAATTAAAAATACCCAACAGAATATTCAAATTCAATCGATTCAAATTCAACTGAAAAAAAGATTTGAAATTGGAACATAATAAAAGTCAAGATTCAAGAACCCAACAAAATCCCTAGGAAACCATATGACATGCATGACCCTAATATTCTCCAAACACCAGGGTAGGCACGTGTTAACCGATACCCGAAGGTGACGAAGCCATATTAGGATGCATGAGAAATAATAAATATAAATAAGACTTATAAATTTAAATACAATGTTTATGCAATTGAGGAACGTGTTCAGAGCATACAACTAATGCTAGACACTAAAAAGGAATAATATAAAATTGAATGAGCAAAGAGATGGGTCCTACACTTAGAAGACTCGAAGATGTAGATGCGGGAGTGCCTTGATGCCGGGATTGTATGCCTCGATTCCAAGTCTTGAGGGGGCGCAAAACAAAACATGAGTGAACCAAGTTGATATATAAGTAGTAATAAAATAGTTAATCTTTAATGTACTAAGCCCCAAATTTATGAAAAACTCATATTGCATAATAAGTAATAGGTTTTCCGAAAACCCTAGTATGCCATAAAACCTTTCATAAAACATATATTTTATATATAATGTGTTTAGTAGTGGTGTGTGTGTATATATATATTATATAAATATATATTTATAAGGCATATACATATATATAATATTCATTCGCCCAAAGGCATATAGAACACTTCTTCATTCATCCGAAGGTTCTACATCACGCGCCCATATGCAGTATCATTCGCCCGTAGGCATTGCACCTCCCAGCCGAAGCCAATATAATTGTCTTTCGTAGGCCCCTACATCACTCGACCGAAGAGAATATATAGATATCATTCGACCAATAGGCCCCTACATCACCCAACCGAAGCCAATATAAGTATCTTCCGGCCAAAGCCATCTACAAATGCCCCGCTGACACCAATATAAATATCTTCCACCCGTAGGCCTTCATTCGCCCGTAGGCTTCTACAGCACCCACCCGAAGGCATATAAGTATCAATCATTCGTAGGCTCCTACAACACCCACCTGAAGGCATATAAGTATCACTCGCCCGTAGGTAGAACATACGCCCGTAGGCAGGACCGTTCGAATAACCATTAAGTAAGCACATAATTATATATCTATCTTAATCGGAGTTCAGTAGCTAAAACATCATATCGTAAATACCTATTCGTAGTATATAGTCATCAATCATATATACTACGAAAAGCGTAAAATCAATAAAGTGTGGTATTCCAAAATATTCTCAGTAAAGCATGATATCTCATAAAAAGTAAAGTCTAATTTACTCATAAAATGTAACCATTAAATCATTCTTTTCATGTATGCACTTCTAATAGTAAAATATGCATTTTAGAAGGGGTCCACTCACAGATACTTCACTATCGAAAAGCCACGCAAGCTAGCGAAGGTGGAAACGCCATAATAATTGCACCTAAGCACATAAAGGGTCCAATTAATAAAACTACACTCAAACGATTGAATTTGGGAAAACGGACGTCGGAAACGGATTCAGGACGTTGAATTACCCTACAAAATCAACAAAAAGTCAATGCGAGAATATTCCATAATGGAATATTCCATTGGATCCAAACTAGTTTAGGTCGGTTCAGCCGGGTTGGGTCGCAAGGTGGATAGAGAATCTGGGCCGGGTTCCTTGGCCCAAAAGCCTGGGTTTGGGTCATAAGGGTTTTGGGCTGGGTTAAGTAATCGGGGCTAGGCCTACGTTTGGGTTTAAAGAAATGAGGTTTGGGTTAGTAGGTTAATGGATTGGGCTTTAGGTTTGGGCCAAGTTTACATAGCCCAAAGTTTAGGCGGGGTTACTTAATTAGGCGTGCACTGTTTTGGGCTGACTACAAGGGTCAGGTTTTTAGTTCACGGGTCGGTCGACCCGGATAGGGTCGTGGGTTACTGGACCCAAAAAAGAGAAAGGCCTGAAATCGGTGGGGAATTGTCGAGCTCCGATCGAGCTCTATTTCACAACTATCCTTAGCATGCAATATACCAAAATGAAGCTAGGGAGACAAGGATTCGAAGTACCCATTCTAGGCCCAAACGTGGCCAGAGTTGGCCGGAGAAACCCTGCAAATCTCAATTTCCTCGCTGGAAACCGTCGAGCATTACGCCCAAGTTGGTTTATGCATCAAACGACAACCAAAACATCTCAAAATCGTCCTAACTCACATGTAAACATTAACCAAGAGATTTAGGGCTTACCTACGTTGAGGGTTTTTCGAAAGAGGAGGTGCACAATGGCAATGCCATGGCACCATGAGACACAGGGAGATTTTAAGTGTGTTCCAACTTTCCTCCAGGTTTCGTGGAGCACACGGGGAGGTTTGAGTGAGAGGGTTGGTGCGTGTGATGGTCCTCAAGGAGCTGGAGAGTAAGGGTAGGTGTCGAGAGAGAGGTCCAAGAATGTAGAAAGGAAGAGAGACGAGAATGTGGTGAGAGATAGTGTTATGGGAGAGGGAAGAAAAAAGTGAGAGAAGGTGACCCCAGTGTCCCGTGGCAAACGGAGGGAAGAGGCTGGGGGACCAAAAATAAAAAAAAGGCCCCACCCTGCTCACCATTTAAGGCCCAAAAACAATCCCCATTCAAAATATCTTTCAAACCCACTGAAATTACCAAAAATACCCCTTCGTTCCAAAATCCTTAAAAATAATCGAGACGGGTTGTTACACCATAATTTAGTTTTCAATCCTAAATCTCTAAAACATAATACCTTGAAACTGAAAAAGATCATTAGCAGAGCTTGGCTTTCATGCAAATCTAAGTCAGACATAGGAGATGACTGATTCGTCGTTTTGAGTTGTTCGTCCCCTCAAGTTCGACAAAGAAAGACTGACTTTAGTGTCTGTCCCTTCGAGTTCGACAGAGAAAAACTGAGAATTGAGAGGGATAAGAGTCAATCTAGACTCTAGAAAGATCGAGAGAAAGGACTTTGGGAAAGAAAGATCAAGAGGGAATACTGATGAGAAGAGTATCAGTTCGAGTCTGGGAGAGTCATCGAGAAAGTGATATGTGTGTGTGTGTGTGTGTGTGTGTGTGATTTGAGTATCTGTATGTGAGACGGCACATATACAGTTCGAGCTAAAGGCCCGTGTCTTCAAAAAATTAGATCCACCCCACCCCAACCGCTAGTACCGTCCATACCCGCTGGCCCAAGGCTTGTTTGCCCAGTCCTACTTGTAAGTCATTATTAATCACCTTAATGAGATTTCATAAATAGCTAATTCTCTCATTGGCAAGAGCAGCTTTTATAGTACAGTTACGCCATCACGGTGATGTTTTGTGTCAATGTTACAAAGACATGTTGATAAATCTAGAACATGTCCTTGTATTATTTAAACGAACTCTTGCCATACAGGTCATTTTCCTCACTCATTATTCCCTTCATATTTTTCATGTGGGTAGCCTCACTAAAACTCACCCTGGTAAATTCAATATTTAAAATTTCTTTGATATGGACGATATTTTCATGAAAAGATATGAAAATGGGGTGGAGTCTAAACTTCACCTCATATTGGAGAAACTCTTAAGTTTGAGTAATACTAGGGAACTGTATTTTTCTAAACCAAATTTGTAAACTGAATGATGTGGTTGTTGATGATTGAATTATTACTTAAGTGTCGATTAAAATGTTTGTTTTCTATTGGTGACACGTTATTTCGTTTACAAATTTAGTTTGAAATTTTAGTCTCCCTAAATTTTTTTTTTAAGGTTCCATCATTTTCATAAAAAGTAACCAATATCGATATTCAATATATCCATTAATATTTATACAATTTGTATTTAATATTACATCGATACCAATATTTTAGACATCGGATAAATCAGTACTACTTTCCATCCAAGTAATTTACACCGACAGATACGTCCAAATTGTTTAGATCAACAATATAAGTAGGGACTCATCTAGATCAAACTCCTTGTATATGTGTGTGTGTGTGAACAGGTTTCTATTGTTACCATATTTGGGTGTGAATGCGTTATTATTTGTTGAACAAATATTTTCATGTCGCGTTATTTAAATAATCCTATTCTCGTGTAAAGAGAGAGTATAAGGTCGGACAGTGGGTCCCGCCTAATTTTGACCAATCAAACGGCGGTGGAATTGGAAGCTAACCCCCAGGTTAACACTCGCGCACCAGCACCGCACCCGAACTCCCCACCCCAGCACTCCCCAAACGCAGAGTTCAAAGCACGATAAGTAGTTTCCGTAAACTCACTCCTCTCTCTCTCTGTCCAAAATTCTCTCTCTGTCTTGTCGAAAACCAGCACACCCAAAAGCAGCCGGCCAAAAGCCAGACGGACAGTTTCGTCATTTCAGTCGCAGTCTCGGATAACCCCGCAACCAAACACCGCCCGAAGTCCCCAACTCCGCCGTCCCCCGAATGGTCACCTCCGCCCCTAATCCCACTTTCCCCAAATCCAAATCCTAACTCCCTCATACCCAAACACCTGTTACCATCTCTAACCCTAGCAGCCAAACATCTCCCAAATGACCACCACAACCACCAGCATAGGAGGTGGCGGAGAGGACCGGGTCCTCGCCACGGCTCAGCAGATCGTCAAGAGCCTCAACACCCCCAAGGAGGTCCGCGAGGACATGCTCCTGATCTTCTCGAGCTTCGACAATAGATTGTCTAACATCACCGATTTGATCAACGGCGAGGATTCCAAGGCCGACGAGGACCGGTTCGGGGAAGCCGAGAAGGTGATTTTCCGGTGGGAGTCCAAATCCGAAGCTCACAGAAACTCGGTCCCGTGGGAGGAGTCGCCGGTCGAGGCCGGTGAGTATTTGGCGGCCGTCGATGAGATCCTCACCCTCATGGAGGGGCTTTCGGTTCGGTCCGATAACGAATTGGTTGACCGGGCCGAGAACGCACTCCAAATCGCGATGACTCGGCTGGAGGACGAGTTCCGCCACATTCTGATCAGAAACACGGTGCCTTTCGACTCGGATCGACTCTACGGCTCGATCCGGAGAGTGTCGCTGTCGTTCGTGTCAAACGACGGCGAAATCGACGATGAATTTGGGAGTTTCGGCGAGGAGGACCGCGACGCCGGCCGGTTCCACGAGCGCGGCGGCAGCCTCGGCGACACAGACGTCGATTTGATACATCCTGACGCCGTCGTGGAACTGAAGGAGATTGCGGAGCGTATGATTCGGTCCGGCTATGAAAAGGAGTGTGTGCAGGTGTATAACAGCGTCAGGCGCGACGCTTTGGACGAGTGTTTGGTGATTCTGGGTGTCGAAAAGCTGAGCATTGAGGAGGTGCAGAAGATTGAGTGGAAGAGTTTGGATGAGAAGATGAAGAAGTGGATACAAGCTGTGAAAATTGGCGTTAGGGTTTTGATCAATGGCGAAAGGAGGCTTTGTGATCAGATATTTGAAGGGATTGATGAGACTAGGGAGTGTTGCTTCAATGACACTGCCAAAGGGTGTGTTATGCAGCTGTTGAATTTTGGAGAGGCAGTTGCCATTGGTCGAAGGTCGCCCGAGAAGCTGTTTCGGATACTTGACATGTATGATGCCATGGCTGATGTGTTGCCGGACTTGCAGCAAATGATGTCTGATGAGTATGTGGTTGGTGAGGCCAGGGGAGTGTTGGATATGCTCGGTGATGCGGCGAGAGGGACATTTGCTGAGTTTGAGAATGCTGTTCAGAGCGAGGCCAGTAAGAAACCAATGCTGAGCGGCGAGATTCACCCGCTCACTCGGTATGTCATGAACTATGTCAAATTGTTGGTTGATTATAGTGTTACTCTCAATTCGCTTTTGGATACCGGTGAGGAAGAGTTGGAAAGGTTGCAAGGATCGCCAAATGATGATTTGGGTATAGGCAGCATGTCTCCGATAGGCCATAGGTTGTTGTTGTTGATCTCGAATTTGGAGTCCAATCTCGATGAGAAGTCTAGGGTTTATGATGATGGAGCAATGCAATGTGTGTTTTTGATGAATAATATTCAGTACATAGTGCAGAAAGTGAAGGATTCGGAGATTAGAAAACTCTTGGGAGACCAATGGGTTCGCAAGCGCCGTGGCCAGGTACGCCAGTATGCTACTGGGTATCTAAGAGCTGCTTGGAGCAAGGTCCTGTCGTGTTTGAAAGACGAAGGGATTGGGGGGAGCACAAGTAATGCTTCAAAGATGGCTTTGAAGGAGAGGTTTAAGAACTTCAATGCAAACTTTGAAGAAATCTATCGGACCCAAACAGCTTGGAAGGTCCCAGATGCTCAACTTCGGGAGGAGCTTCGGATATCTATATCGGAGAAGGTGATTCCAGCTTACAGATCATTTATGGGGAGATTTGGGAGTCAGCTGGAGAGTGGAAGGCATGCCGGGAAGTATATAAAGTACACACCGGATGATTTGGAGACCTACGTGTTGGACTTGTTTGAAGGGACACCGTGTGTTCTGAACCATCTGAGAAGAAAAAGTACATAGGAGGTAAGCTCTTTGCTTTTATTCAAAACTAGTTGGAAGTTGGAATTGAAGTTCTAATGTCGAAAACGAAAAAAAAAAAATTGTAGCTTGATGATGATGATGATACCTATTTAAATATTTTGCTGGTGTTAATGTTATAAACACAGGTTTTTGTGAAAGCTATTTTCCAACCCATCTATCATCTACTGTAATAACTTTTGTACAGGTTCTGTAGACTTTAGCTTTTTGTACGCTGTCGATTTTTTTTTTCGTGGTTCATGTGTTTGATTTCCATGAACCGCCAGTGAGTCTTGTACGTTATCTGTGTGCGGAAGAAGAACTAGAACCATTGGTGTAAAATATTGAATTCGATATACACAACGATTCAGAAACTTATACCCATTTACGTTTTGGTTTTATTTTTTCCTCTGAAAATGAGTGCAACTTGAGCTATTAATTTGAAGAACGGAGATGTAAATTTAATGTCTATCAGATGTTGCATGAATATCAAGCTGGTTACTACAACTCTTCTCTTCTTTTAGTGAGTTTTCGGAATTTTGTAAAGGCGGTGTTATGAATCAGTAGTAATCTCTTGATTCGTTCGTTCATCTCCGATTTTGAACCTTCGGCTATAAATAGGGAAGTTCATGAAGTTGTCTGACTAGAATGAAGGACCTATTTATAACATCTGATATACTTCAGGGATGAAATCAATTGTGAGCAACGTAAGTGGTTTAGGTTTCCAGATAGTAAAGTTGAAGGTTGTTCAGATGATGAACTTGTAGACGGGGTCGGAATTGTGATGACTCTGCTCAAAGACGAGTTCCGCCGCAAACTGATTCGAAACACGGTCGCTCTCGAATCGGATTGATTTAGTAGATGTGTTTTTCATTTAGCGTGAAGTTCCCCAAGTTGGAAACCTTGTGTGTGTATATATAGCCTTTATATGTATATATCATCACTTAAAAGCCTTGGTTTTATAATTAGCCACTTGTTGCCTTCAATAACGAGGAGTGCTAAGATCAGTCGAATACAAATAAGACAGGTTTGGATTAGTTTACTCGTGCTCGATTGTTTTTAGCATTTTTCAGCAGTAGATGAAGAAAACGTCCAACTTGGTCTTCGGACAAGAACAATTAGGAACAGTTTGTGAACGCGTGGGTAACTGAATCTAGCATAAAGATAGAAGGATGGTGATATACCCTAGTTACATGGTAAAAAGCTTAATCTAGGTAAATACAAGACAAGTAAGCTTCTTGCTTGGGAAGAGAGTTGTTGTGGATGCCAAAGACACAATCCCCAAGACCTTCTAAACAAACCTTCCCAACATCCCAATGAAGATATTTCCATTCCCAATAAAGGCTAGAACTTTACTAGTCTCCAAAAAGTGCTTGTACCTCAAGTCGTCAAGAGATTTACCCCTTGCACTCGAGATCTTAAGTTTGATTTTCCAATTCCAGAGATTTACCCCCGAGACCTTAAGTTCGATTTCCCTATCCCCTAACGCCGCTTGTATCAAAGAGCAGAAAAGAAGATGAAAAGAGAAAGTTTTATTATTATTACTGCGAAAAAGCTCCCATGGAGCTTATGGATACAACAAATTTACAGAGTCAAAACGGTGTCAAACTGAACACCACTAATTACAGAGGACTTGCCTACGACGAAAACACATCCAACAAAACCACCATAGGACTAGAACAGAGATCATTACATACAAGGGGAAAAGAAAACGAAAAAGGATTGCTCATTTCGGTTGGGGAAATGATCGGAACATTGTTCTCGATACCTCTCTTAAACCCTGCTATTCTGAGGCAGCGGTAGAACACCGTCAAAAAAATCACCAAAGTAGCCACGGGGCTCGTGAACTAGCCTTGAAATAATGTCCCTAAGCGTAATGACTCCTTCCAGATTCCCATCATCGTCCACAACATATACTCTGTGGATCTTCTTGGAGTCCAGCATCAGGATTAAGTCCTTAATTGTGTCATCCCTTTTGCACGTAACCATGGTACTCAACGTCGGGTAGACTCCCTGATGCTTCTCTAGATAGCTTTCAACCGCTGTCAGGAAGTTCTTCGCTGTGATGGACCTGTCAAGACATGTCAAATGAGTGATCCATATTTACACTGCAACTGAAATTCTTATGAATAAATTTGAACACTTTTTCTCTACAAACCTGTAATCATGGTATATTTCTGGTGCAGTAAGCAAGAACTGAACATCTCTTAGGCTTATATTACCTACTGCCTTGCTACCGCCATTTTCAATCACGGGGACCCCTCCAACCCTCTTTTTCCTCATCAGCTTAAACGCTTGCAGCACCGGTTCATCCTCGTACACCTGCAACAGAATATTATGCATTCAAGTTAAGCGTTACGGTAACTATGCTTAAGAGAAATCCCCAAGTTCATTGAAAGATAGTTTCAGATGGGAACTGAGAAGAGATTTCACCTTGACAATGCAATTAGCAGTCATCATGGGAAGACCAAGCTCGGATAGTTTCTTCTTTCCCCAGCTCTCGAACCACTGAAGTCCAGCGCATTCCGCTAACATGTGAATCACAGCAGATTGTGTGATGATATTATCAATCTTTCCATCACCCAAATCAACTACAGGAACACTCTTCATTTTGTACTTTGAAAGCAGCAAGAGCATGGTCAAAAACGAGTTTGAGCTCTGCAAAGCAAGAAACGGAGCCCAGCGAAATGACCCCGAGATATCTCGAACCTGTATCCTCAAATGTTAATATACATATGATGGGAATGAATGATCTTATTTTATTGAAGATGTTAATAATATTGTATGACCTGTGTGTTCTTGTAAAACTCGGAAGAAGTCAAAGCCTCGAAAAAACTTCCAGAAGTTGCTGCGGCAAAATCAGAGACGAAATCGAGTCCTGCAAGATCAAGACCTTTCAGTCCATTAGCTGCTGCTGCCATAGCAGTTGCACTAGATGGACTAGTTGGGGTCCTCGGGGACGTTGGTTCTGACTGTCAAGATTAGCATAATTATCATGTTTTATATTCCTCCACATTGATAATTTATAGCAAACAAACGTAGCTCCTGAGTCTAAAAACTAAAAAGGAAAACACTTCGGCTCTCCTTCCAAACAAATCACAGTTTGACATGTGCGCATGACTTTTCTTTTTATGGTTTTCAGGAGTAGTTATGTTTCTTATGTATCATGATTCATGATGTGATTTGCAGATCAGGAGGAACGCTAAGACAATGCATTTATAAACAACATAGTTGACGTTTTCAATGCATAAGGGTTGTTAACTTGCTAACCTGATGCAGAATCCACACGACAATTCCGGCAAACTCAACAATGCCAATGTATCTGTCGATCCAGCTAGCGTCCTCAGGCGCATCGACATCCACCACCGGTGCACCAAGAATTTTGTGTTGGGCCAGGATTTTAACAGCTTCAGCTAAACTGGTGTCTGACCTTATCTCAATCACTGAAATACAACAAGTTTCCCAAAAATATTAATCCAACAAACAACAACATTAGAAGCAAAATTGATCAGATTCCAACAAAACCGATCCCTCCTAGTTATCTTTTGATTTTTGTTTAATTCTTCTAATAACATTCACCATCAAATTCGTATGGATCACTGGTTAGCTCCACTCTTCCTTACCTACAAATCACAGTCTGATACGTATACAAAAACATGTCATTGAAATCTCATAAGAAAGTTTCTCCAACACACGTCAAACGGCGATTTTGGTGATTTGTATGCAATAAGAAACAACATGTTACGACCCAATTATTTTCCTTTCTAATCAACAAATCATTTGATCATCACAGCAGATACGTATGCTACAATTCTAACATGATCGCATGTTATTCCATCTGTATATATGCATATATATAAATATATGTGTATGGATGGATGTAAATGGGGTACCTTGATTCTCAGGAGCAGGAGGGAAAGCAGAAACAGGGACGCTCTCAAAACAAGCATTCAGCTTCTCAGTTGGACTCAGCTGTGGCTCCTGAACGTCCCACAAATCCTCTACCTGCATCCCCAGCTTCGCCTCTGGACTCCTCGGACTCCCTCCCTCCCCCGTCGTCGTCACCGCCGGCACACCCATTTTCCTCTCAACACCCAAATTCCCAACTCTCTCTAAAATCTCTCTCTCTCTCTGGAAACTCTGTTACTCAGAATCAGACAAAGATTGGATCACCCTGCCAATATTTAACGACAAAAATCATAAAGTAAACACTAACACACGTCAGTGTTCTTGTCGTGCATGAGCAATCCAGGCCGTTGGTTTTTCATACTCCTACTGAAAGTTACTCGTTCGGCCACGTGTACCATTGTGATGACGACGATACATTGATCGTGACGGGCCTGCGGTTCAATTATTAAGAGTTGTTATTTGGCAATGTATATCCGATTCCTCTGATTACTTTAAGGAAAAGTTCTTATCCGGTTTTCAATGCCGACCACACTGGTGGGCGACGCTATCGTGCGCCGGGCCGGGCTTTGCGCACCCTGTGTTCGAGGATGAACGGCTGACGTGGAAGTGTGACCGACACGTGGTTTCTGTTTACTGGATTGTAGGCTTGTAGCTTTGCTCAATGTTACCTGCGGTTCGGTCGTCGACGGTTACTGGTGAATCAGTGGGCGGGCGGGGTTTCCAAAAGTGGAAGAGAAACCGCGGGCGGGCAATTTGTTTGGTCCGGGTCCGGTTACATTATACCAGGCCCAATGCTGACCTGTACTATGGTGGGCCTCTAAAGATAAGAGTTGAATCCAACCCATTCTATATAGTCTCCTTTTTTTTTTAATTTGAACAATGTGGATGTTGATAATTGGATTATGAATAAGAATAAATTGTAGCAATGATCTTTTAACTTTAAATTCAATTTGAGCAATGATATATCAACTAAAAATTCATTACTATTAGTCTCTCAACTCATCAAAATGTACAGCTATGGTCCCTCAACTAAAAACACATTGTCATTGGTCCCTCAACTTTAATTCAACTAGAGAAATGGTACCTCAACTTTAACTCAATTGTAGCAATAGTCCTTCCAACATAACTCATTTTCACAAAATTCTAACGTAGTTGATGAAAAGGACCATAGTTACACGTTTTGATGAGTTGAGGGACCCCAATTGTATCAATAGTCTTTCCAACATAACTTATTTTGACAAAATTCTAACAAAGTTGACAAAAATGACCATAGCTACTCATTTTGATGAGTTAAGGGACCAATGGTGATGAATTTTTAGTTGAAGGACTATTGCTCCAATTTGATTAAAGTTGAGGAACCCTTACTACAATTTACTCTATGGATAATGTTAGAAATTTTTAACCCAAATTTTGTAAATTGAATGAATGGTCATTGATGATTGGATTATTACTTAAGTGTTGATTAACGTGTTTATTTTCTGTTGGTGACACATCATTTGGTTTGCGAATTTGGTTTCCCTAACATTATCTTTAAAAGAATATCGATAACATGCCAGTACGTTTTATCCCTAGTATCGACAATTTTATTTATTTTTAAACAAAATTCTCCATACTTTAAATTTAACTTTACTTTAATATACCTAAAATCTAAGATCTAATTGAAGGATCAAACCTAAAGAATGGTCATAATATTTACGTCAATGATGTAGACTACAGCTCTCTAGTAAACAGAAAAATGTGGGAGGTCCTGAGTTCGTGCTCTGAGCTAGTGAATCTGCTTGACTGTGGTCACAGGCGAATTTCCCCATAACTTCTCTAGGTTCGAAGGGGTGAATAATCGTGGCTTGCAACCAATTATTCCCCTTTTTAAAGAAAAAAAAACTCCAAGAAGGGTAAATTGCCAAATACCTCGGAATTATCACAAGGTTGCTGATTACCTTCCTGAATAATTTATTTTGCTGATTACCCCTCTTAACTTGTACAAGGCTATCAAATTTCTCCAAATTTTCGTTCGGTGATGTCATGTGAGAAGCATGTGACACTTTCGAGTGCTAAAAACATTCACCTATCGCAAAGATGTCGATTACCCCTTCTTCCCAAAACTATTTGGATGAAATTAAAAGAAAATTAAAAGCATATATAAAGTGCACAAAAGGAAAATGGTTCTCTGTAAATCATTTTTGTTATTAATTTCTATTTTTTGAGTTGGAAACTTAAATTCCCCAAACCCCCCTTCCTCCCCCTTCCAAAAAAAAAAAAATTTACTCCAAAGCAAGGAGTGATTGTGCACTTTCCCCAATACACGAATTGAACATCATATGTCATTAAATAATTAGAAAGACATTTGAAAAGAAAAACTTTCCTTCAATAATATAATAACATGTGGTGGTTCGAACATAGAAAAATCTTTCTAAAAAACCAAGAAATACCGCCAAATCATTACACACGTGCGGCCCTAGGGGGTCCCACTCCCCGTATATATAGCGAAATGAAATAGTACTGGTCATCAAACTAGACTCCCACACTCACCGAACCCCATTTGATTTGACTCCCTCCGTGTCTCTCTTTTTACCCCTGTGTGAATACTTTTTACCCAAGGTGTTCTTCACGCGCCTCCATGGAGGCCTCGTCTTCTCAGCCGCCGTCCGATACGAATCCAACGGCCTCCAGCCCTTCCAAGCTCCTCCAGAACCTCCCCTCCCGCGGCCTCTTCTCCTCCACCGTTCTCTCCTCCAATCCGGTGATAAATTCCTCTTCTTTCCTTTTTATTTGTATTTTCCTTTTGGGTTGCCGATGTATTATTGGATTCATCAGTTTTTTCGTTTCACATGGTTCCAATTAATCTGTGACTAAAACAAGCATTTGGGTCTTAGGATTTTACAGCTAAGAAGTAAATTGAGAGTAAAGACTTCGACTTTTTATTTATTTGTCTGTTGGGTTCAGACTGAATTGTATAATTTGCATTTGTATGTAGTCGATTGTGAATAATCTTGGTGTAATTCTGTATCTTAAGAAGTAAAAAGTATTGGGTTTCGTTTTGATTGAGTTTATGACTATTGGGTTTTCAATTTTATGTGGGAAAGTAGATTTGAATACGCCATGTTGATTTTATATGTGGAGGATTTTCCATGTTTTTTCACAGATGTTCGGTTTTGCATGTTATATAACTTGTAAGCACTCGGCAATTACTGAATTTCAAATCGTTATCTATTGCCAAGTGTACATGTGAATGCTAATTTTTTCCCAATTGCATTAAAATGTGTTGCTTTCTGCATACAATGGAGAGCGTCGTAGGTGTGTTAGGTTACGGCCTAGAATGCTTCATCGGATAACAACAATGTACCAAGTTATTTGAATCAATAATTTATTGATCAAGTGCTGGAAAGAGTATAAAGTCTAAAAATTTGAAAGTTGCAGGAGGTTAGCATAGTTTTGTATCTAGGTTTGTTTTCTAATATGAGAAGCCAGTTAGATCAAGTTTGTGTTTTACGAAATCAATTTTCTCTGATGCATTTCTTGGCGTGTTTCACTCATTTGGACCAATTATATTGTCTGCTTCCTATCTGGTTCTTCCACCACCTACTCCTCTCCTAGTTTTGCTTACATGTTGCAGAACTTTTTCAGGGCGGAGTGCGAGTTTATGTATGTACCCATGACACCTCACCCCCAGGTTTACATGTGCTTTTAAGTTTCTAAAATTCATTTATTTAGCTCTATGCTAATGCATTATTTTGCAAAATTTGTTATTTTTGTTTATCATATTCAGTTTATTCCACTTCTGACTTTACTGCTTGATCTTGTTTATCCAGATGGTCAACTGATACAGACAAACCAACAGAACATATTGATTAGATCACTTACACTTAAAAAACAGAAGGGAGATTCCAGTTCAAAGGATGCAAAAAGCGCCGGTGCAGCTGAAAGTTCTAAAAAGAGGTACGACATGGATTTTATTGATAAGATCCACCTGTTTGTTTATGTTTGAATGAACTAATTACTTTGAGGGTTTAACTTATGGTTTTTTGTATTAAATAACTGCCTTTTACCATTCATTATCTTCATATGGGCATCCCTTGGTGTAGCGTTTTTGGGTGCTCATTTCTATATTTATCATTGTATTCAGTCTCAATTTGACCATGGAAAAAGATTGTGTGCAGTCTCGTTTACCTGTTTTCGTTTATCATTTAGGCCTGCTGAAAGAGTTTTGGATAGCAAGGCTTCAGCTAAGAAAGCCACTAGTCAAACTAGTTCTCGACAAGGTAAGGTTCTTTGGCTTTTATAATGCATTAGCTATCAGTTAGACATAAGTCATCATGAAGTCTTTTGACTAAAAGAATTGTGTTGGATGAATTGGGTTCTCAGTTTTCAATGACTAGAATGTTTTTTTTCATTATCGTTTATAAGGGGTTTAGTAGAATGTTTTTTTTTTTTTTTCATTATCGTTTATAAGGGGTTTAGTGTGGTGGTTCCTTGATATCTATCTTTTACGTTTAACTTTAATTTTTCAAATTCATAATTTTGTGATGCTGTAAAGTCCCATCCTTGAATTGTATCACCTTTATTACTTGTCAAAGGGTACAAGTTTTCTCTCATATGTGAAATTGGTGGTCAATTGCATAATTTTACGGTCTCATTGTGGTTTGAATTGGTTACCAACCAACAATGATTGCATGGTGCAATGAATTTCATGATGTGCAGGTTTGACTCCGAAGGTTCTGCCATCTTATTACTTCTGTGTACAATTTGAAATCATATATTAATCCAATTTCTCTTGTTTTTGCTGACATCTCTGATTATAATATCGCATTCTAGAGATGTATTTATCTTTGTAACTTCCATGCATAGTGGGTGGACCCATTTAATCTTCACTAGAAGACCCAATGCTTCTTAAATTAGAGCAGCTTTTAAGTAATACATTGAACGAGTCCTATTTTTCTGAATTTCCCATGAATCAATTGTACCCTTATAGTTATAGCTTGCAATTGCTTTAACGTGCAGAGGGATCAAGCAGTCAAGCATCATCTAGTAGGGACTTCCAAGGGTTAACTGTAGAGAGGCTCCGTGCCCTTCTGAAGGCTAAAGGTCTTTATACAAAGGGGAAAAAGGTAAGTATGAAGACAATTTAATCTCAAATCTAAGTATTTGTTTAGAGGACCTATTTACATATTTACCGGAATGGGGGGTTTATTGTGTTGTGGACTGTTGGCACCTGAGATCCGATAAGGCGTCATTATCGTTTTTGTTGTTATTTTGGCGGAGATAAAACCTTCATCTGCTTTTATTCATCCATGAAATAATGCGTGCAGGATGAATTGATTGCACGGCTGAGAAGTTCAAGTGGTTAAGCACAGGTCAGACTGCGGGGCAGCTCCTCTGTTATCTGTATGTGTACTCTTCTAGGGGAAGGAGAGTAGTTTCATCCATTTTGATGTAAGTTAGGAATGATGTGAGATGGAATTATCGATATTTTGAATGACGACGACAAGTTCTACAGACTCTGAACCGCATTTTGTATCGTCTTGTTTGATAAATTCTATTTCGCTCTTTTAGCATTGCATTTTTCTATTCCGCTCTTATAGTATTTTCTAGCTTTAATGGAGTTTATACCGACAAATCTGGCTATAATGCTCAAGCTACTGCAAATGAGGAACTTGGTTTATCGGCAACTTCACCAACTGTTGTGTTCTCTTCATCTGCTGGAGAATGCAATTGCAAATCTCAAGATACATGCATACGTCTCAAACCTGATGTGTCGTTGTTACCCATCTCGTTTCCCATGATCAATTAATCCAAATCCTGCAGTACAAGCAATGCAAACATTACGAATCCCATGATCAATTAAAATGTTGTTTATTCAAGGGTCTAGGCTATATTAACCTAGCTATTTAAGTTTTTTTTAGCAACCAAATTTGTACATGCGCCGCGCAAACAAACAAGAGGCGTTTAAATGGATGTTGCTCAAATTCTGGATGAGGCGCTCATGCGCGGCTTTGTGTTGTGCAATCTAGTGACACAACACAAATACTATATTAGAATCAACTATGTTATGTGCTTGTGCCATTTTCTTTTCCACGTTTTAGACTCTGGATTTCGAATACGTCCAATCACAACAAACTACATATGTTTCACAAATGTGATGGTGGACGGAATTTAGTATACCTAAGTTTACAGCTCGTCTTATGCTCACATTGTACTTGTGCCGGTCCGCTAGCACTACTTTTCCGGAATGAACATTGCGACATGTGAAGAACTCTTGGAAAACATTCTATCAACTACAAATTATGTCCACTATTGGGTTGGATGTGAACATCCAGATTATGAGATTAGGAGGAAATGATTAGAAGGGAAGAACATTTGGTTCTGATGGACTGGCACGGGCCACAAGTAAAGTGCTGATTGGCCAAACTTAGGGTTTTGCATAGGGTGCTGATGCAAATATTCTCTCTTTCCGCCATAGGAATGGGTGCGTGGGTCTGTTCTTTCAAGGTTTCTTGATGTCAAAGCTTTGTTGCTTACATAATTTTAAAAGGATAGGGGCTCATGATAGCTGTGCATTGTTTTTGGAAACCCCTTGGCCTTTCTACATGCTTGAAAGCAAGCAACAATGGAGTCGTTGGACCCTCCCACAATGGAAAGATGAGTTGTGTTGTCACTTTTTAGCAGAATATTAGCCATGGAATGATTGCACCATATTGCAGCCATCTGTGAAATGACCCTCCTTTGCCCTATTATTTTTTCTTTCCTGCCAAATTCCCATTACTTGTCATCCACTTGTATATGAACATATATATTGTATTATACCTACTTGTTAGATAACTAGTGGATTGAAGAATGAATACATCAGATGGCTTGCTAGAAATCAAAGTGTTGTGATTCACTTGTACCGAAAAGAGTAATATAGCATGGTTCATCACATTTCAAAAGGATAAGAAACCCTTTTCATGAAGAACATTAAACAAAGCAAAAATTAAGAGGTAGGACAAAATTTATTAGAGTAGTGCTGCACTTACCATCTAGTTGTGCCATCATTTGTACCATCTCTCTAATAGAGATAGGACCCGTTAACGCATGTGAGTCTCATCTCTATTAGAGAGATGATACAAATAGATGGTAAGAATAACATTTTTGAATTTATTAATTTAATAGCAACGCTAAGATAGTCTTTCAGCAAAAATATATAAGTTAAGTTGCTTATGTGAAAAGATTTGATTTGAAAATTTTAAATTTTTAGATTTTGCCTTAAATACGTTAATGCTTTTGGGTTTATGTCGATTTTTCCATTTCATTAAGGGTGCATTTTTGCTCACCACCATAAACTATGGTGTGTGTTCACCATACATCTCATCATCTAACCCAGTTGCTGCTTTCTTATAGAAATGGGCGAACCTAATGAGTCTAGAGATGTAGTTACTGGAAGCAGTCCTTCCAATTCTGCTAGGGGAAAGAATGTTGGAAGGATACTTGAAAAGCTAACTGAAATTCTAAAACAACACTACTACCAGTCTGGTAGTGCTCAAGGAAAACCTCAGTAAATGAAAGTTCTTTGGGAATTTTGGGGCTTATTAAGAAATTTGGGCAACTAAGTCCAACTGAATTTCGAGAAATAGAGGATCCAGTATCTGAGATCAAATTTAACCAAATTTCCATCGAGCCAGGTCTCGATGCATTCATTTCATCAAATTGACAACAAGGTATGGAAATTGATTTAGAACATCAGAGCGGGTCCAGAGATGAACAATTTTATGTGGAGAGCGATAACCAATGCATCCTACAAAGCTTTTTCTTTTTCATCGTAAGATTGCCTCAAACCCTCCCTTTTGTAAAATGTTAGAGGAATCTATCGAACACGTACTGCTTTTATGCCACGGGTGATGTGTGTTTGGTTTGGCTTTCTGTTAAACTACAAGCCTAATCCTCAACTAGTCACAGCATTGTTTTTGTTGAACCCTCGCTTTTCTGAATTTATCAGTCTAATGGTTAGGAGATTTGGAAAGAGAGATGTCATGTTTTTCAATGGACTAGATCCTTCCCTGCTCGAGTTTTGCTGAGAAGCTCTGCTCTCGTTAGTGAGATTACTTCTGTTTTGTCAGCCCACCCTCCCTGCAAGAAAGGAAGCAATTTTCCATACATGGTCCCCTCCTTGTGATCCTTTTGTTAAGATTAATGTGGATGGGGTTGGAATAACGCAAGACTTTGTGGGGCTGTGGGTAAGGACGGAGCCAGAAATTTCTTCTAGTGGGGGCAACCGAAAATAACTAAGAAAACCTTATTATAATATGGTTATACGCAATATGATATTAAAGATGGTTTCAAATGATGATGTACCACAATTCCAATGTTACAAAAATTTCAATATAGTAGTGGAAAATGGCAAAGTGATGAGAAAAATATAAGTACATGATAGGCAGGAGAGGGTTTTTTCAGTTTGAATGATAGAACAAGAGCATGTATTGCTCATATAATATTTGATATGAAGTATAAGTAGAATGAATGTATGTTGGATATTAGATGTTGGAAAACTATGAGTACATAATATTAACAGGTTTCCTAGGTTACTAACAGATGTCAACATGATACCTGAGGCAACCATTGCAGAACAAGAAAAGGATATCTCCTACTTGTTGAAAGACTTAATGTTCTTAAGGTGATAGAACCCAATAACGCAGAACTTTTCTTCACGAGTAGGGAGTCCTTATATAGATCAACATTTACCAACTTCCCTCTATCATGGAGAGTTGGTTTTTGTCAGTTAACAACAGTTTCAGCAAATAAGTGGGATGTAAGTTATCTCCACAATTGTTATCCATATTTCCTTAATAATAGGAAGCAGTTTTTTCCACGTTTGCAACTTACATCAAATTGTATTGTTACCAAACACATTTCGTCCTTCACTAAATGATAGTTTAGTCCAATTAAGTTTCTAACATTAGATACATATATTTTCTTCAAAGATAACCCGTGTATATTATATAATTGTAGTCTGCAACTAAACAAACGAATTACTTGAGTGGGGGCATCTGCCCCTAGTGAACCTTCATTGGCTCCGTCCTGTGGGAGTCATTATTCAAACTCATCTAGGTTCTCTTATTGGCAGGGAGACGTTTACTTTGCAGCGCACTTTTCATGAAGCAGTGGAGGCTGAGGCCACTCTTGCACGTTTTCCTTTGGGCAAGGAGTTATGGACTAGGGAAGTGATCATTGAGAGTGACTCGAAGGGAATTATAGACCGCATAACAAAAAAGAGTGCTAGTGGTCAGTGGAAACTTTTCTCCCTTGTGTCTAAGATTTGGAGGCTCCAGTCGTCTTTATTTGTAGGCTAAATCCGAATATAAAAATACTTATTGATCTAAATCAAATTTGAGGTAATTACACTAACACTTCTTGAGATTTATCGTGTTTTCACGAAACTCTCTCACATTAGAAACATTACACTAACACCTGCTAAGGTTCTAATTGACACGCCCCGATCCCTATGTCCGTGGGACATCAGGATAGTCATGTGCTGGCCGACACCCGAAAGTGATGAAAGCCATTTAATGAATGCATATGCTGAGAACATGTAAAACATGCATATAAATTTCGTTCGAACTACATAAAATAATATACTAATATTCAACACATATCGTTGGAAAAGAACTACTAGGGTAGGAAATGATGATTATGAATTGGAGCAAAATAATAAGGTGTGACTATTCATTTCTTTGTGAAGATAGTGATAGTGGATGACAGCATACATCTAATTCAGAATACAATGAAAGGTGTTATTACAATGATGTCAAAGCAGAGATGACGGCACGATATCACTGGTAGGGGAAAGCCTCGTAGCGCGGGTCATAAGCCTCATGCTTATGTCCTTAGGGGGCGTAAAACAAGCATGAGTGGACCACGTTGATATATATATATATAATACTGAAATAGTTATCAACACACTAACCCCCAAAGTTTTATGAAAACTAATATCATAATATGTAGTAGGTTTCCGAAACCCTAGCATGCCATAAAACCTTCATAAAACATATCTCGTATACAGTGTACTAACTAGTGGTATCAAGTTGCCTGTAGGCACTACATTTCTTGGCCCGAAGCCAATGCATATATCTCTCGGCCCGAAGCCATCTAGATATGTCTCCCTAAGGCATATATCTCCCTCGCCTATAGGCAGAATAGTGACCATTAGATACGCGCAAAATCATCGAACATAGTATTTCCAAACATAGATACATATATCTCAAAACATCTTTATATTATATAGTCATCCATCATATATACTACAAAGAAGTGTGTAAAAGCATGTTGATAAATAGTATATAGTCATCCATCATATATACAACAAAGAACATCATTTCGATAAAATATGGTATTCTAAAATATTCTCAGTAAGCATAATCTCATAAAACGTAATCATTAAAATCATGCTTTTCATGTATGCATTCATCGTAAAGCTGTACGAAATAGGAAAGACGAAATCGCCGCTAATATTCGCACCTTCAATATGTTGTGGGGTGATCGGAATCTGGGTTCAAAGGTCACAGGCTCGCTAGGGAGTTTTGGTTGTCCCAGAGCTT